AACATACGAATATTACGTTACTATTCCAACTTATCCATCAATTAGTCTTTTTTTTATTTTCGGTTTATCTTGTACTCCCTCGAAAGTGACTCGTCGACAGGAATTACAAACTTTTGGTTTCGGTCTGATTATCCGCTTTTGATCTTTTTCTCGTTCTTAAATCAACTTTCTTTTCGTTTCAATACGTTTTGTCACATCGAACAGTACTCTTATCACGGTTTCCTTCACGCAAATAATTTCTATGTTTTTTATTGAGTTGTTTGTCTCGTTTAGACGTCGTTAAAGAAAATGAACTAAATCTAGGTTTTTCAGCTGACAAATATTCTCTCTCGAAGGGAGAAAGTGTTTTCGTTTTTCGACAGTATTCGAGTTTCTCGAGAGGTTTCCAGAGTGGGAAACGAGGGGGATGGTAATATTTCTTTTTTGCTAAGAATTCGAATAATTTCTCGTTAGACATTGATACGTCGTAAGAGCTTTTGCGAACTTTTTTAAGCAAACGAAAAAGTTAACCAGAGTACTTACAGCCAACTCTGATGGTGCACGTGTTGACAGCCTCGCCAGCCAAGTTGGTAGCTTTGCACATGTAGGTACCAGAATCTTCAGGGTATGTATAGAGAATATCAAGGGCCACGTAACCAAAGTCGTGTGTCTTGCGGAAGCGATGTCCTGTTCTTACAGCAACTCCATTTACGAACCTGCGATTCAACGTTTCGTCCGTTCGATTTAAATAAATTAATCCAATCGAACGATTTTGTGATCATTAAGTTTACCTCAGACAGTGGTGATAATTATAAAATGAATATAGTAAGTTTTCAATTATTATACATGGAAGAAAATAACTTTAAATATTCAATAAAAGACAAGTCTATGGGAAACAGTTTCTTTCTTTTCTCAGAGAAGAAAAAGAAGTATGAATAATTAGTGTAAAAAATTCTAATTTTGTTCAAGGGTCAGTATTAGAATTATATTACGAGGTTAATGAAATTGAATTAATTCTAGTTAATTGATTCAAGTACCATTCTATCTTTAGATTTGGATCGTTGATGGGTTCGACGCGGCATTCCAAGTGAGCGTGTTCGCCCTCTTTTAGATCCAGGTTGTTCAGTGGAGTCAAGAAAACGGGTTTCTCGTGTACAACCTCCTTTTCGATCTCTTGCTTCACTTCTACGGTCTCCAATTCGCGAATCTTTTGCAAACGCTGAGCGTCTAACGTGTCCAAATAGAGGCCTTGTTTTGCTGTTTAAAAAGATTGAGAATTTTTTAAAACGTTTGCTTTTTAAGCTTAACAACTTATAAATTTGGATACAAGTCGAAAGGTTATAGCGTTTGTAACATATTCGAGATTGTCAAATGTCTAGCGCTTCCACAAATACGGATCTCTTGTAATTTTCTATATCTTTTAAGAGGTAAAATATTTTTTTCAAATTTATTTTGTAAATTTCTTAATTTAACACTTGTTCGAAAACGTCAGTTACCGACTCTAGACTTTCTCAAATCACAAAACACTGCAACTTTAATTCCCTAAATTTCTCAATTTACAAAATACCATTCCTCAATACTCTAAATTTCTTAAATCACAAAATATTAACTTTCAATGTTCCAATTTTTTTTTTTTTTTAAATACACAAAGTACTCCCTAATATTCTTAATCCACAAAATACTCCAACAGATTCTCCTCAAGCTTTGAAAAAACATTCGAAACTTGACTCACAGTCAACGCTGATGACGCAAGTGGTAACAGCTTCTCCAACAGCGTTCCTCGCCTTGCACATGTAAGTTCCAGAGTCTTCCGGATAGGCGTACAGAATATCCAGAGCGACGTAGCCAAAGTCGTAAGTGGTTTTGAACTTATGCCCTTGAGGGATCGGTCTACCATCCCTGAACCACTCAACAACCATAGTGGGATCGTTAACAGGCGTCAAAGTCGCTTCGAGATGAGCGCTCTTGCCTTCAGGCAGATGCTCGATGTTCTTCAATGGGCGACCGAATTTCGGCTTCTCGGCGACGATCAAATCCTCCTGGTCCGTACGTTTGTAACGCGAGTCGTCCTCGAGATATTGTATCTTCTTCAGGGCACTTTCGTGTTGAGTCTCGCGAATAATCGACGCGCGAGCTGCAACGTAGCGTTCGTTCCATTATTCCATTCCTTTTCGCCAAGTATATTGCGCTCGAAGGACAAAAGGGTTCAGGATAATCCTTCCCCGAGGATTATCCTTCCTTTCATCCCATTTTTCAGGAACGAACATGTGATATACAAGAGGCGTGTGAACGAATAGAGAGTAATATAAAACAATAGGTAGAAGAAACCAACGATGAAACATCCAAAAAAGAAGGGTGGCAATTCACTGTGTGTACAATTTACAAAAGCGGGACTACGGTGTTTAAGCCACGGAGAACTAGAAGCATTGGGGAAACAGGGTTTCTAGGTAACACAAGGTGTTTGGTTACATCCACCTGCTGTCCCCGGTGCGTGATTTCATCGTGGACGTTCGTAGAAGTATCGATTCTTTTTTTTTTTT